GGTGTACCAGTGTGGGGTTTTTGATGGTCAAAAAAATAGTTCGAGATAAAATTGTCACAGGTGTACCAGTTTGGGTTTTTTTGTGGCCAAAAAAATAATTTGGGGTAAATTTATCACAGATGTACCAGTTTGGGGTTTTTTGTAGTATTAACCCTTCCTATTATACAAATTAATAGTTATTCCAACTTCACATTATATATCTATATGAGTAAATTAAAATCATATCAAATAATTACACTTGTTATACATTAATCATACTATAGAATATTTACATTTCACTAATGATACCACACATGTCACATTAGTTGACAAGTAGAAATAAATATTCAATTTCCATTTGCAACATATGTGTTATCATGTAATGTTTGTCTGTGATGATTACTATTTACGTTGCTTAAAATAATAAAAATTCGATGCAATTTTCTGTCATGTTATAAAAAAAATCTCGTTGCAAGTTCAATCAAATGCAACAAAATAAAATTCAATTTTATCTCTTTAGGTGTACCCTAAGGTCACAAATTATTGTGTTAAATTACAGTTCATGGCAACGAAACTTACTTTTATCGCCTTAGGCATACCCAAAAACAAAAACAAAAAAAAAATATTCATCTTAGGGTAAATCAAGGCAACAAATTCTCAGATTTGCTACCTTAGGGTCGACCAAAGGCGATGAATTCTTAGTTTTGTCGCCTTGGATTTGACCATTTGAGTCTTTCCATTAACTCTGTTCAACTTGGCTGACGGAAAATGCTGACGTGACTTTTTTTTTATTATTTTCTCTATCATACATGGCACTAACGTGCCAAAAACAACGTCATTTTGATCCAAATCTCATTTTGTTATTATTTTTTCTATCCCAACGGCAAGGGTCACCGAGCCTCAGCCAGTGGTCAGCAACCCTCACTTAGGCCCTTGCTAGCCTTCCCCCACTCTCGTCATCTGGTTTTTCACTCCTCTTCTTTTTTTTATGTATTATAAATTTAGCTTATTTTTAATTTAATTTACTTTAAATTTGTATTAAATATTAGATTTGGAAAAAAAAAGTCGTTTTAGCCTTAAATTTGATGTTTTAGCCACATCATCGCCACATAGGAGAGAGAAAATATTTTAAAAAAATCACGTCGGCATTTTCCATTTAGCCAAGTTGGACGGAGTTAAGAGAAAGACTCGATTACATTAATTTGACAAGTTTTAGGACTTAATTGCATTTTTTGGGAAGTTTAGGATTCAATTGCACTTTCATGATAAGTGTTAGGACTTCTAGTGCACTTATCCTATATTTTTTAAGATATTGCACATATTTAAGATAACAAGACTTGGAATATTTCAAAATTCAAATTATAATTTAAGAATTAGGGTTTTTCGTGGTTTTAATCCTAAGATATATGGGGTCAAACCGGTTGACTCAACTTAACTCGAAAGTTTTCGGGTCTAGGGTTGGCTTGACCCTTTTCATGGATTGAACAAAAGTTCACCCATAATCTATTTTCCAGAGTTGGTTTGTTCAATTATCGGGTTCGTATTCCTTTTTGCCGGTTCTAAGTAAAGCTTTCCATATGATAATTACCCAGCTAGGCCTAAATCTATTGTACCAATGTCAATTTAGTCGTAAAACTTTCAATTTTGCTAATATAATCCTCAGTCTTTACGAGAAATTCTAATGTAGTCATTCTAGCCAATTGCCACCAGAATGGCTGATGTGGTGATCTGCAAATTATTCAAATCAGCGTGCCACGTAGGATGGTCAATGATGATTACACGCCACGTTAGCTATTCCGGCGTCAATTGGCCCGATCGACAACACTGAAATTTCGCACAAACATTTATGATTACATTAACAAAATTGAAAAATTTATAGTTGAAATAATAAGCTTACGACTGAATCGGTACTTTTCCCGCTTTTCATTGGTGGTGTTAATCCAAAGGACATTAAAAAATTGATGACGCAGGGCCATCAAATCTTAGATTGACAAAAAGCTTTTTAAGGATAAGATGCACGTCGAGTTGATGTCTGTTGTATCCAATGCCCGCAAAACCCACTTTCGCCTGAAGATAGATTTTCAGGTGGGAGGTTGTGATTCTGCATCTGGCTTTAACGAGGAATCTTTGGTTTTTCAACTTTTCACCCATGACCCACTTAAGGAAAAAAAACAGAGACAAGAACATGCACAAATTTTCATATCCTGAAAAAGAAAACCCCTTTCCCCTCAATGTCATCTGTAGCTTTTACTCCAATTTTTAGCTTTCAGAAGCAGCAAGGACGGAGAAGCTTTAGAGAAGGTAAACAGTATTTTTTTGTATTTCACTATTGGTGAACAGAAAGACAAGAATTCTTGTAGTTTCTTGGAGACTTTCAGATGAACCAGCTTATTCATGGTGTTGTTGTCTGTAAATGCTTGTAGGAACCGGGATCAGACATGGAAACAGTGCATGTGGAGAATGCAACTTGTCCCCCTTTTCCCTTCACCCATTTTTTCATTTCCTTCGGTTTATTTTATTAGGAAAATGTTAAAAATGCGCCTGGAGCACTTGTTAAGTCTTTCAAAATATTATTCGTAAAATGAAACTTTCTCAAATGTATACTTCTTTGATTTCCAAAGCACTTTGAAAAAATTATTATTTTTAAGGGTTAATATCACAAAAAACCATAAATTATGCCTACTGTGACACAATTACTCCGAACTTTTTTTTGTGTCACTAAAAACCCTAAACTTGCATCCCAAACTATCTTTTGTGTCGTAAAAAACCGCGAACTTATATCAATGTGACAAATATATCTTAGATAGAACTGAAATAGAGTATATATATGACACACATATTTAAGTTTGGGTTTTTTCCATCACATAAAGAAAGTTTAGAGTTTTTGTGTCACAATGAAAAAATTTAGGTTTTTTGATGACACAAAAAAAGGTTTTGGGTATTTATACCACAATGAGCATAGTTTGGGGTTTTTCGTAGCATTTGCCATATTTCTATTTCTACTATTAGTTAACTTAACGAGTGCCTTAGAGCCACTTGTTAATAAAACTCATTTTATTATTTTGATTTTTCTTCCGTTTTTTTTAAATGCTAAGAACGTCCAAATTCGGGAATCTTGTTTGCACGAAGGCAAGTGATAAGAGAGGAGAGACAAACTTCTGCGAGCAATAAATTTCCATTTGTTTTTTATGTTGTTGCATTTAGGGGCAAAAAACATTTTATCTCCAAGTCATTCAGCTGTTGCTTTCCCATTTTTCTCTGGGGAATCATTCGGAGTCATGCTCGTTCAGCGTCTTCTAGAAGGTAAAACCATAACTGGGAAGTGATTCAATGATTTGAGGAGCTTAGCATTGCCTGATGGAAGCTACTTTGATGCTTCTTCCCGAGTCTGTTAGTCCAGCAAGAAACTGTGAGATCCACTGAACTTTTGACAGAACAATGTTAGACGCAAATTTCACAGCGCGGCTCGCGGAATTCTCGATAGGCTGGTCGATCTGGGAAGGGAAATGAAGAAAAAGTCAAAAGTCTTCACAAGAAGAGAAGAACAAAACAAGAGTTTCATATGCCAACTGTGATGGAATCAATGATGCATGAATGACACATCCATGATGATCCCAACCCACACAGATCTGTTTACACTTTCGTACCAATCATGGCGAAAATAAAGATGACAATGTCACTTTTCTGTGATTCCTTTGCCAATAATAGTATGCGTGAGTTGGAAGTCAAGAGCCACAGTTGAAATTATGGTAAGGCCAGTACAGCACAGATCTTCCCATTCTCACGGTACGTTTGTAAGTCTTCATGGTATATTAAAACAGAAGAGGTAATGAAGAAGAAGCAGAATGGTCCAATTGAAAATTAACGCAAGCGTACTTGGTATAAATCTGCTATAGTATTTGATTGTTTATAGCATTTTCTGTATTTGTGGACTCTAAATTATGGATGTTATGAGGACAGCTGGGAAGACATAAAGGAGGACAGATGATGAAAGGTTGTTTTGTTAGGTTTGTGGAAATGTTGGTGTTACCATGCATGAAGAAATGAATGAAAGAGGAACAATAAAATGGGAGTGAAAAATTTCCCCCCTCCCAAAAAACAACAAAGAAAGGAAACAGATCTTTTGGAATCACTGAGGTCATGTACAAAAGACCCCCGTTCCCCCACATGCTGTCAGCCTCAGACAAGATGTCAAAACAGCATCTTACTTGACAACTGCATCATTCCCCAACAAACTCTCTCTCTCTCTCTCTCTCTCTCTCTCTCTCTCTCTCTCTCTCTCTCTCTCTCTCTCTCTCTCTCTCTCTGGATCTGTGATTGTGGGACATGGGCCTCTTAATTCCAGCCTATACTCTGCATAAAATGACATTTCCCTTCCCTCCAGTCACCTTCACTTTCAATCCAGGCAAGACCAGCTACAAAAACATGAAAAGAAACAATTCTTGAGCTAGTTTGTGTGTGTGTGTGTGAGAGAGAGAGAGAGAGAGAATTCTTGTCTTACAAGCTCTTGCTAAAATCTCCACGAAAATGAGCCAACCAATAAGCCACCTTTTCCTCGAGCAAAAAAAAAAAGCCTCCTTGTCAAATTGTAAAAACCAACAACTTTGCTACCTGAGTAGGGAAAAAATGAATCTAAAAGAATTAGCAAAGCCCAAGAAAAAGAAAGAACCAAAAAATCTGCTAAGCTGCTTCTGCAATGTCATGTTGGCTAAGCTGTCATGACCCCATCAGGGAAGACTCTGATATCTCTCTATACTAGAAAAAAAAGAAAAATATGAATTAACTCTCTTTCTTTCCAGATCAGATGACAAAAAGAGGCAAAAAGGAAGATAGAGCAAATTCAGGAGAGAGGCTTCAAATCGAAACACTTATAACTACCCTTTTTCTCTTTTGATTCCCCTCTCCCCCCCTTCAATTATTATGTCTTCCGGAGAGCCTGTCCAACTTAAAGTCACTTTCATACCTGTCAATGTGTACATCTCAAAACAAAGAAAAAACAAAACCCACAAGAAAAAGAGGAAAAAATGTACATGCTTACAGTCTCAGTACAAAAATTAACCAAGTGGGCATCTGCAGTTTCTTGATGGAGAGGTTCTCCATTGAACCTCCAACAATCTTTTGGATCTCTCCTGCATACATACACTTATGTGCTTGGCAGTGTCCATTTGCAAGAATCCCTGAACTCAACAAAATAATCTCCTACCTTTCGAAAGGCCTCAGATTAACCGCAGTAATGAAATTTCCTTTTGCGTGTTTAATCTTGTGGGGATCAAGATATTGCAAAGCTACGTCACAATGTGACACAGGCATCTTTCTAGCGGTAAGAGATGGAACCGCGACTTATCTTGAGATTATCTTACTTATTAGATAATTATTGAACTTTCCTCCAGGAAATCGTATAAAATAAAAAGCTTTGGTTTCGAGGAGGATGTTCTGGGGAGGTGCTGAGGAGTGAGCACTGTGCATAGCCACAGAGTGAGGTCCTTTGAGAAAGCGAATGTATTGATCTTCTCATGTCCAGAATTCAGCTACATTTATCTTCACCCACGGCAAGAAAACCACTATAAATGTGCAAGTCCCATTTATATATTAGAGCTTCCTCAATAATGAGGACTACTTGACCCAGTTAATGCCTCTGAACTCACACCAGTATCAGACACTGCGCTTAGTTCTTCTTTCCCCGTTGCAAACCCCAACATCACAGTACCACGGTTCATTTGCACTGGTTGTGCTACTAGAGCTGTTCTTGTTCTCTTCTTGGCAGGTTCAATAATTAGGCTTACTGAAGCAGTGAAGCCAAAGCCATGTCAAGTTCACTAGCATCAGTAGCCGCAGTTTCTGCCGGGGCACTTGCATTGGTGGCTGTACTAGTTGGACTCGTTTGGTTTTGCATGTCAAAGCTGAATTCTTCAGCTAACAGGAATTCCGAGACGGGTTCTTCTGATCCATCTGCATTGGGTAAGTTCTTTGTCCAACTGAAAAGGGACAATCTGTCAAAGCTATTCATTTGGATTTACCTCTTCTGTATGAACTTTGGCATTCTCTTCCTTGTGACAGTTGACTGGAATAGGGGAGGTGGGTCTAGTTCAGGAGCAGCTCCGCCGCTATCCGGGCCCCAGGGAGCAAGACAGTTTACAATGCAAGAGTTGGAGCTAGCTACCAGGCAGTTCGATGAGAGCAATCTCATTGGACATGGAAGTTTCGGTTTGGTCTATAAAGGTTTACTTCGTGATGGAACGGTTGTCGCCATCAAAAGGCGCACAGGTGTGCTTCAACCAGAATTTGTCACTGAGGTATCAGTACATGCAACATTTAACTTGTTTTAGATCAGTATCTAGAACCTTTGTTTCACTCATACCTTGTCTAACTGGAGCCTTTCCCGAGTACACAAGCTCTTCTAGCTTTTTGCTTACATACATTGTGTGCGCTTTACATCAGTACTGCCTAACCTTTGTTGTTCAGTTAAAGCTTCTTAACGTAGAGATGACGGTTAAAAGCTAGGGATCGTTATGCATAATGGTCTCATTTGTTTAAGATCCTCTATCTTGACATATAGCATTCTCATCACCACGAGTGTTCATCACGAATGGAGATTATCAGTGCTTTCAATTTCCGTGCCCCTTATTGGAGCAAAAGTTTTTATTGAATGTCTTTTGCCCTTAATTCATCCAGATTAATATGTTTTCTGTCTCCAAACAGGTATCATATTTGTCAGAGATTCGCCATCGTAATTTAGTCACTCTCTTGGGCTACTGCCTTGAAAATGGGTGTCAGATGTTAGTCTTCGAATACCTACCAAATGGCAGCATGTGCAACCATCTTTATGGTATGAAAATATGGTAAAAGCTTGTTGGTTCAGTAATGGAAAATGAAAATCACTTAAAAATCATGACTGAAAAACTTCACCGCTCTTGCAGACACAGGACAAGAATCTTCGACTAAGCTAGAGTTCAAGCAGAGGATCTCCATTGCTCTTGGGGCTGCTAAAGGTAGATCCACAGCTATGAGCCGATTTCAGAAGATTATTTAGCATGATCTCACAGACTCTCTGACTTGAGAACACTTTTATTTGTATCCAGTGCAGGCTTATGCCATTTGTATAGCCTTAGACCTCCATTGGTGCACAAGAACTTCAAAACGGCTAATGTCTTGGTTGATGAGAATTTCATAGCTAAAGTCGCAGATGCAGGGCTCATGAAACTTCTTGAAAAGAAAAAGATAGAAGCAGGTCCATCTCGCGCATCTGTCAGTGTTTTCCAAGATCCAGAGTAAATTTATTTCTTCTTGCATCATTTTTTATTCAAGTTGGAAAGAACAAAATATTACTTTCTATGGAAATGTAATGTGTTTCCACTAATTAGGGCAGGAGAATTGGGTGGTTTCTCTGAGATGAGCGATGCATATAGCTTCGGAGTATTTCTTTTGGAGCTTGTTACCGGAGAAGCAGCTCCGAATATGATATTGTCAGGGCATGAAAGCTTAATCCAGTGGGTAAATATACTTCTACCTAATACCTTTATGCAATCAACTAGTTACGATTCTTCTTGTTATTTTCCTGACATTCACATAACAAGATGCAACACAATCTACTATCAACAACTTGATCGATTGAAATTCTATACTTTCCACCTGCAAAATTATAGTAAAGATCTTGAATCGTCGGATCATTTCCCTAAACAAGGTTATCACAATGCAACCGGTTCTTCTCTTGCTCTAGTTCACTCTCTCGTCAAAAGTTCCTTTTTTTTATTATTATTATTGTTGTATGCCCAATTGAGTAACTTGGTTGTAAAGTAAGGTAATACCAATTTAATTTCCATCACTTGCATAGCATTGAGAGAGAGATGAAGAAAGCAGGTTGCTTGTTTAACCTTCCTAACCATCCATATCTTACCTTCTAAAAAGTGACTTGTAAAGAGCATCATCAGTGATCACCTTTTCTCGTCTACTCTCGGAAAATTCAATATTAGGTGGAGTCCCATGAAAGTTTGATAAACCTTGTGGACCCTCGGCTAGTCGGAACTTTCACAATGGACGGAATAAGGGACTTGATGAGGTTAACATTGTTGTGCATGATTTCCCCTCGCGAAAGGCGACCGAAGATGGACGCGATTGCGTGGGAGCTCGAGAGGATTCGGGAGAAAGAGATGGCTTTGACGACAGTCATGGGCGAAGGAACTGCCACAATTACTCCGGGCAGCGAGTTGTTTACGTCTTAATCATCCAGGGTTGTTAAAATTTGTGCTATAGGGGTCCATTAAGTGAGAGCAAAGCTGTAAACTTGATGGACCTGGCTATTAGAAGCTATAGGCGGGGAGTGAGCAATTACAGTGCGTGGCTGTGCGTGTGGATCTGTGGGATATTGCAGCCAAACTAAACGTCATGAATTGATTGTATTTGATGATCTGAAATAATAGTTTCCAGAAGGAAGATTGATCTAAAGCACACCGAGATCCCGTGACTTTCTAGGATGCACAGCAACTACGAAGGCTTCTTCTTGTATGCCCTTCATTTTCTTCCAAGAGTCTTAACAAACCATAAGATTAGATTTAAACTCTCTACTTTAGTTTAACGAGGAAGAAATAAAAAAGCATCATTCTGCTGCAGACCTGAACTTTTTTTTTCCTTACCTGCATTAAGTCAAATAACCATGACGATTTTAGAATATCAATTGAGCCAAAGACATACTTCTGCGCATTCAAACAAGCATCAGCTCTCATGACATTCCCACGTTGAGATCTACATCAACCCAAACACTCGTGGAGCCACAAGGGAAAAGAGTGCAAAAGCTGGCCGAAAGTGTTGTGTCCTTGGAAAATGCTGAGCGATCAGAAACAGGAAAAAGATCAGCAGAAAGGGCGGGAGACATGAGCTGGATGGATACCCAAAACGGGAGGCATAGGGAATGGGAAAAGGGGGTCATTGCCTACTAAATGTGGCCATTCATGACATGTGTACTGCTCAAAACCAGTAAATGGGGACTGCGTTTTGATTGGCTTCATTCCTCTGGAGTGAAAGTCCCAAAAAGGAGATGATTGTGATTTGTGACAAGAAAATGCCAAAGCGGGGGACCATGTGTGTATGATTCCTTTCCACTATGCAAAACTCATGGGAAAATGACTTTGGGTGCGCTGTAGTTTCGAGCTTTCAAAGGACCATTAGTGAAAGTTAGGCCGTTTGATAAAATTTATGCCGAGTCCAAAGTTGTCTTAACGTAGCCCAAAGCTCAAGCTAAGTACCACTTACTTTGAGTATGAAGTTTTTCAAAATGTTCAATGAGAGGATTAATGAATTCTTAAAAATTCATTCTGGCCCTTTTTAAGTTATTATATTTCCAATTTCATCCTAAACGCAGCCTAGGGTCGGGTGGCCCTGACGTCGCGGCTCCTTGGGTGCATTGCCCTAGCCCAATGGATGTGCTTTCGCTTTCGACAACTTAGGCCCGTTTGGTTTAGCTTTGGGAAGGGGCCTCAAAGCCTCTCTTCCCAAAACTAACTGGCGTTTGGTTCGACTTTCCGAACTCGAAAGCGAAAGCAAGATTTGGAATGCCGTTGGAATGCGAAAGCCCAAAGTTTTGGGCTTTCAAGATTTGTGGAATGCTTAAGCCTATTTTTCCTTTCCAAATCGCTCTCACTCAAATTTCAATTTTCCGGTTTTGCTCATCGTTCATCTTCTTCACCGTGAAGGTGGCCTGCGAAGGGCCGGAGCGAGCGGAAGCCGGGCCGGCGACGGGCGGCGAGGTCACTTGACCAAGGCGACGGCCGCTCGGGATCGGGCGACCGCCAGCGCCGTCGCCTGGGTCTCGCGGGCGACCGCCTGTGCACCGTCGCTCGGGTTTGGCGGCGACGCCTGAGCGCTGTCGCCGGCCGGATCCGCTCACCGGCCACCCTCACGGTGAAGAAGATGAACAAGAATAGGGGCAAACCGGAATATTAAGAATAAAAATTGCCAAAGCCCTTTGCAAAAAAAAATTTACCAAACACTACTTAGGCCAAAGTAGCTTCACAAAATTTTTTTACTAAACACCACTTACATTTCCCCAAGTGGCTTTCACAAAGGTATTTGCATTCCCCAAGTTGCGATTTAAAAGTTCGAACCAAACGGGCCCTTAGTGGCGCTTCTCCCCGCTTTCTTTTTATTTTTCTTTTAATTTTAAATTCTGATTGAAACCAGTTTATTCTTTTTTATACTAGAAAACTTGTTTTAGTCTTTTTAAAGGATATAACATTCGTTGTGCCGTTAATTATAGTTTAATTCGACCCAAAAAAAAATACATAATTATAGTTTAAAATGTTTAATACTTCAAATCAATTATTGAGTAATATCAATATGGTAAATCAATTCATTAAAAGGTTAATTGTAACTTTTGCAAATAATCACCATGTTAGAGTTTCTTTCATGAGGTTTTTTTAAATAATGATTACAAGGAGCTCCTTGCTTTCAATGAAAACACTTTAACACAAGATCTCTTTGTCAAGGTAAAGTCTCAAAAGTTAAAACATAATTGCTAGTACTGCTCTGTTGGATTTACAGCCTATTCGCCATTACATCACGGTCTTAATTGATATTGTAACCAAACTTGCAGTCAACAGGGTAGATGACCCCAAAAGAGTAGGGTCAAGTTGATGTATACTCAAAATGTGATTGAGCATTGAGAAAAATAAAATAGTCTAAATTGGTATAGCGTTGTTTTCCGGGTAAGTTGGTTTACGTTTTCGAATCGACCCGGCAGATTTTGGAATCGCCGGTTCTCGATTCTACTTGGAATTGGTCCAATCTTTGTTTTGTCCAAATGTTTCGCCGGAACTTAATCGACGATGAAATAACTTTCATCAAAATTCGTTCTTCGGTTTTATTAAGGGAAGACGGGTTCTATGATGTGTCACGCCCCTACTCGGAATCAAAATTGATGCTTGTTGACCGATCATCACCCGTTCGAGCCCGTGACTCGCAAAAATGAATTAGTACATCCCATTCATTTTCAAATACGCAAACGGAAGCAATATTAAATGAGACATCACAAAACATAATAAGCAAACATCGCACGTTATATTTACATGATTCGTACTTATTTTAACAAGGCCATCTTACGAGCCCTTGCAAACCACGCATATTTTTACACGTCTATTCCAAAGGCATTTCCGAACAAGGCTGCCTATGAACAACAAAATTTCAGCTTAGGGTGATCCGACTCCCACTACTCCATCTCCTCGCACTCCCGTTTACTCGTGCTACTCCTCCCCATGACCCGTTTGCCTGGCCGTCTCACACCCCACCCGCGGCATGCCCCGAAGCCGGCCCTCCCATACCGTCGAAGCGGCTGTTGAACCCGCGCAGGGGTCCAATCCAATCCCCGTTAGATAGGCAGTACCATGCCATATACGTGTGAAGGACCAATTCTTCGAGGCCATCATCCACCATAACATACGTTGTAATCCGACAGTAGACGCGGCCTTCACGGGCATCGATCACGATAAGCAATTCAGCTCGCATCTCTATGGGGTTGCCAAAACGGGTTGGGGGAAACGCCATCCTACGGACCTAAAATAAGAAAAACAACGGGGAATGAGTCGGGAGACTCAATAAGTGAACTCATTAATGTCAAGCGAGGATGAATCGATCGCCGTTAACATGAGTCGGCTATTACCGTACCGGCATCGATGGCAAATCAATAGCAAAGTTCATGCCAAGAAATAACAAAAGAACATCAAGCATGGCTACCTCACGTGAACATCATAGCCAAGCCCCGTTTTCTATAGCGAGATGTAAACATCAAACACGAAGCATAAGCAAACCATGGAAAGAGCCAACTATGATCAACCAAGTGACCGAGATACGGTCCAAGCAACCACGTCATAACGCATCTTAACTTTCTTTCCCGATATTAGGGAATTCACTTACTCAAACGATAAACTAGAACACGTGAGAAATAAAGAAAGCAAGTGGCATGTGGCTTGAGCACGTAAAAGGCGAGGTCTCGGACGTGAACTTCCTAATGGCAGAACAACAAGGAGAAGAAGAATGGTCAGTTGGTGTGTGTGCGCGTGTGAGGCTCCCATTCAAGTGGCGGCCTTCTCCACTTATAGTGGTCCATGCTTGAAGAAGAGGCAAAGTTATAATGATATGGCCCCTAAAGTCAAGTGCCATCATGAACTTGATCTAGAGAAATTTTGAGCATTAATGGCATTGATGAACAATGGCCAAAAGAGCATGATGAAGTGATCTTGCCAAATCTAAGCCATTAAGGGCTTTTAATGTGGCTTTCTCCTCTCTCTCTCTCTCACTTGGCTTCTATTGGCTCCCCCCCTTGGCCGACTCCTTCTTTGTCCTTTGCTTATTATTGGTGACAATGAGTCATCATATCTCCATTATGGGGGTGGACAACTCAGCTGGTCCCAATTGTGAAGGGGGACACCTAAGCTAAGTTCCAATAATTATGGCTTTTAGTGGAAAATTTGACTTGATCAAATTTTTGTCTCTTAGTTCCCTCTGTTTCTAAAGCGTGAGGCCTATTTCTAGTCCTCTACAAGTGCTGGTTTTGCTCACAAATATTTTGGATCAATCAGCTTACACAATACCGACTAATCGATGCCTAACTTGTAAACCCGAATCATAATTACTTCACTTAGTTTCCGAAGGTTTTTTGCGACAAAACACACTTATTATACCCGTTCGATGTAGAAAAACCTCCAAATGTGACCAAACACGATCAAATAAAAGCCAAAGTCCAACTATGCAAGTTCGGGCCGGTCGGGTTGCCCAGGCGTGTGGCCTGTGCAATCGGGCCTGGCTGGGCGCAGGGCCGAGCACGCTGCCAGGCTGCACGGGCACACGACCGAGCACATGGTCGAGCGCACGAGCGTAATGCCGGGCTGCACGAGCGGCGCGCCGAGCACAATGCCGATCTGCATGGGCAAGGGGTCGGTCCACGGACTAAATACATGCATTGGCACACGAATGGGCACCATGCATGGCTCATGGCCAAGTCTCTTGGGCACGGAATTAGGTCGAAGCCGGATCTGACGGGCATATTGCCTGGCACAAGGGTCAGGCACAATGACCGGTACACGATCGGGCACGTAGTCGGTCCGTGGCCTAGCTGACGGGCATAATGGCCGGTCATGTCCGGGCATGAGGCCTGGCCAGTGGGGATGGCACATAGCCTAGTCCGCGATCAAGCCATTAGGCTCGTGGACTGGCACATGGCTCGTCCATGGCCTGCCTCAACGATCCGTGGCTGATTCACGACCGATCCACGTTTAAGTGTCAACAACCCATGGTCTACCATCGGTTGTCATGTAGCCTCGTGGACTTCAGTACCCCGGAATCAACTCATAGTCATCCGTGACCGATGCATGGCCGTGTGGTATTACCCGTGACCGACACATGCCGACACAAGACTAATCCATAGCTATCCCGGATCGTCCTACTAACGGCCGTTATGATCGAAGGGTCAATCCACAATCGTATCACTCTAATTGTCTTGCGTGATCAATGAGTCATTCCACTGTCGATCCCTAGGCCAATTCATGGACAATCTTTCAATCGAACCATGACCAACCATCAGTACACTCGTTCCGACCATGTTATCCACTCCATTACCCACCCTCGGCTTGAACTACCTGCTCATTCTTTTATCACTATTTACCTTTGGCCACCGAGGTCCAAATTCGGGGATGTCACAATTCTCCCCCTCTAATAAAATTTCGTCATTGAAATTTAAACGCGTACATGGTTCCTCAAATAAATGTGGGTACTAATGTTTCATGATTTCCTCACCTTCCCAGATGGCTTCCTTTATGCTATGATGTCGCCATAGGACCTTTACAACGAAAACAGTTTTATTTCTCAACACT